AACCCAACTCCTGTAGATATTTGATTTCAGTGCATATTTTTTCCCTTAGCATTCCCTTTACCCCTGACAAGAGATATATGTGGAACAAAAGAGAAATTTATTCTGTGGTCAGGCCTTCAAACCTACCTGATCTCTTTCAAGCACATGTCAAGCTGTGCTCCAGTTATTTATTACCACTGCTTAGTAGTCATCATTTTCAATTTCCTTATGGTTGTTGTTTATTCTTATATTGAATGACTTGCACAGAGTGAGTGTAAGTTCATTGAAATTAACATTTAAAAGACCTCGAGACAGCCTGTCAAAGTGATGGTAACGAGGTGGTGAAACTAATTGAAAAATAGTTGCGTGTTGATGTTCTGCAGCAAAATAGTTTTGTCCCCAAATCAGCTGCCATATTTGGATTATTTATAATGGCTATGCAGAAATAAAAATACCAATCATAATTTAACTAGTTTATATGACTATGTTTCAAGTTTAAAGTTTTTTTCTCTTTTTTTCTGATCTCTATTTTAATTATCAAGAAACAGTTATACAGAAGGGAAAAAAAAAAAAGCTCTAGGCCTTGCTTGTGTTTGAAGGTAAATACCCATTTTAAAACCAGATATTCCCTTCCCAGTGGAAGAGCAAGAATCTTCCTCTTTCTCAGTTAAGTCAAAGCTGTCTGATGAGTACATTATCTGCATATAATTTTAAATCTCAGGTGAATTTCTTTCTGACTTTTCCTCATACTTCTGCTTAATGTTTGCTGTGGAACTAATTTGAATACTGCCCTCAACCAAACATTATCAGGAAGGTAAATCTGCATGAGGAGTTGGAGATACTATAATGTACTTCAAAGGGAACTTAAGATAGATGTGTTTTCCATTTTTATTTTTCTTTCTTATTTTATTTGTCTTCATGCTTATAAACTGTTCATTTATTAGTTACCCCAAACTGCCCAGTATTTCTTTCACTGCATTTTTGGGTGTCTGGGAAAGAGTTAGTTTCTTTTTTGATTTTTAACTAAATTTCATAGATAGTTGGATTTCGAAATTGGAAGGCAATTGTAAAATATCTTTGTATTCTCAGATCTTTTTATTTTTATTTTTTAATTTTGTTGTGAACTCATGTATCAGCCTCTCCTCTTTGTTAAGACCTATATTCTGTAATTATAATTATAAATGTTATATTTATATCTATTTATTTATATATTATATATTCATTCTATATTTATTATTATATTTTATACAAATACTGTGGCGTTATAAATACAATTATAATTCTGTAATGCTCTACTATATTAATATTACCAGACTGTTTTTCACCAGAGTTAAATACATGACATTTCACTTTGTGAACTTTATATATTTCAGAGTCAGGTCACATTTTCTGATAATATTATAGGAGCCTCTTTTAAACTAGAATTTGTTGTTTTCATGAAAAGTTTTATTAGCTTACTAGGGTTCCCACTTTCTTTTTTGGTAACATAAGTATAAGGAGTACATAAAACATATGTATAACTTAAAGAATAATTATAAAGTGACCCTCTCCCCATGAAACCCACTTACTAAAATCTTTAAAAGTCTTCTTAATGTTTTCATAGTTTTTGTTACTATTACTTTTCTGTTTACATCTTTTCTCCTCTACTTGCTACTTTCTCTCAGTTTGCTTTTAAAAATCTCTTCATTGGAAAATGTTATTTTTGTAGAATTACTAGTTGAGGAAAACCGGTAATTCTTTTTCTTCAAATTCATTTAGTTCTTTCTACATACTAGACACTGCCCTAGCCCTTGGGGGACAGAGATGAGTGATCACAAGGGAAATGATACAATGGTGATTGCTGAATTGAATGCTTCTCCATGCAATACTATAGATTATTTAACTGAAGTATTATTAAATATAAATTATTATCACAATTGTTCATTTTTATGGGAAATATAAATTATAGATAAACAAAGAATATGACTATTCCAAATCTATCATCCACTTTCAGTAGCTTGTGAAATCTTTCCATATATATGTGTGTGTGTGTGTGTGTGTGTGTATATATATTCATTCACATTTGCATAACAGAGAGTAAGTGCCCATAATATATATCTTAGTCTTTTCACCAAATAGTGTATTGCAGCTGTTTTTCCAAATCAATAAATATTTACCTACAGGATTACTTTTGTTGGCTAAATGGTATTCTATTATTTGTAGATTTTATTGTTCATTAACTGATCACCTATTGACCTATGTTTAAATCTTTGAAAGCATACTTATAATTTCCATAGAATAATTTTTGAAAGTTTTGAATTACTGGGTCAATGAGTATGTACATTACCTAAACATCTTAATTGAGAGCATAAAAACAGAAGAGTGCAAACATCGTAAGTATAGTATGATAAAATTGCACGAATATACCCAGCACTCAGCTTATGAAACAGAGTATTACCAGCAACCAAGGAGCCAACCATGTAACCTCTTATTGCAAGGTTAACTACTATTCTTACTTATAACACTGTAAGTTAGTTTTGCTATTTCTGAATTTTCTAAGTAGCTAAAACAGTTTTTTTAAACATGTTTGTTAATCATTTGATTTTTCTTTTGTAAATTTCCTGCTTGTTTTCTGTTAATTTCTTTTGATGTATTGCTTTCTTATTACTTTGTAGTAGCTTAATGTACAAAGGACAATGACCCTTTGTTACATATGTTGAAAATATTCTCAGATCCCTTGTTCATCTTTTAGTTTTTATACTAAAATTTAAATTTTTCTTATATTAAGCTTCTGCCGTGTGTATGATGCTTTAAAAGCCTTCTTCACTTCCAAATTTTATATAAACACCTGTATATATTGATGGAATTTCATTCTTCCTCCCTCCTGCCTCTTCACCCCTTACACTGATATTTGTGCTTACATGTACATACATTGAAAATCCACCAGATGATGATATAGTTTTTGCCTTAAATAATCATAAATATTTTAAAGGAATTCAGTAGAAAAGGTAGTGTTTTATATTTACCCAACTATTTATCATTTGTTATTCTTCTGTGACTTTTGATGTTTCAGATTTCCTTCCCATATTATTGTCCGTCAGCTTGAAGAATTTCTTTTTTCTTTTTTTTTTTTCATTGTTTTCTTTTCTTTCTTTTTTTTTTTTCCAGTGGACATACTGGGGATTGAACCTAGGACCTCATGCACTCTAAGCATGTGCTCAACCACCGAGCTATATCTACCCCCTCCCCCAAGCTTAAAGAACTTTCTTTAACATGTGTTCTAAAAAGCCTGTGGTAATGAGTTCTTTTAATTTTCCTTCAATTGGGAATATTTTTATTTTGCCTGACTTAACTTCAGATTCCCTGATTTTTTTTTTCCCTCTATCATCTCCATTCTGCAGTTCAGCCGAGGAAGTTTTTTTGTTTCAGCTACTGTATTTTTCAGCTTTAAAAATTTCCACTTGTTTCTCTTTTTATACTTTGTATTTATTTATCTACTGAGAAATTCTGTCTTTTGATTCTTTTTAAAGTGTTCTGTGACCTCATTACCATTACCTCATAGCAGCATAGTTACAGTTTTTGCTCTAAGCCTTTGTCTGATAGGACCAGCATCTGGGTCGTCTCAGCACTGACATCTGTTGATTGTCTTTTCTCTCGAGAGTTGGTTCCTTTTCCTGGTCTTTGTATGTTAAGTAATACTAGATTGTATCTTGGCTGTTGTGCGGACTCTTAGTTGAGTTATAATAATCTGGACAATGTTGATGTTTGGTATTAACAGGCAGTCAACCCAGTTAAAGTCAACGTAAGTCCTGTCAACAGTGCCTCGGCAGACAGTGGTTCAGGTCTCAGCTGCATTCTCTGAGAGTTTGCTGTACTGCTTTGGGTCTCTCCTGCACATACACAGTGTAGGGATTAGTCTGAGACTTATGTAGGCTTTTCTGTTTGACAGAATTATAAATAGTATTTTGATTCTCTCAGTATCTAAAGTATAATAAACCTCAAGGTTAAATATTGAGTTTGATTTGGACTCGATCCATATTAACCCTGTGGATCAATGAAACTCCATATTCTTAACAAAAGCAGTAAAATACACAAATTAGCTTTATAGTGATTTTTCAATAATCAGTTTCCAGGTTTTTTTTAACACTTTATAAGCTTTATTTAATGTCAGTTTTAAAATAGATTAAGTAAAGCTAGTCCCAATAGCGAAAGAAAGAGGAATGGTATGACTTAAATTTTAAACAAAAGGAAATGAAAATTATCTGTTTATTTGAACATGCTAATTTCTTCTAGAGACTTTTTGTACTATTACAGTAAACCTTACAGTTATGTTGAAGTTTCTCCTCTGGGTATTTGCCTACACATAAGTTTTATTTGAATGTTGTTTACTTTTATTTTCAGAGAACATTGTATTGTTTTAAAATTCTGTTTATCTCTCCAAAAATAATCATAGTACTTAGCTTTAAAATTGGATGAACACGATCAGAAGAAATTAAATGAGCTGGCTTTGTGTAAAAGGGTATGTTTTAGTTATTTATTGTTGTGTAACAAACCACCCCAAAACTTAGTGCCTTGAAGTCACAATCATGTAGATTTATTTGTTTATGATTCTGCAATCTGGACTCAGCTCAGTTCTTCTGCTGGTCTCTCCTGGGGTCTCTCATGCTACCACAGTTGTCTGGAGGTTTGACTAGAGCTGGAGAGTCCATGATGGCTTAACTCGCGTGGTAGCATCTCAGTGGAAGAGTTGGGTTGAGCTTGGGGCTGGAGGAGCCTCTCTCCACGTGCCTCTCACCTCTCAGTGGTCCACCACGATTGGTTATTTGATAAGCCTTGTTACCCTTAATATTATATTGTTTCTGTGGGTGAAAGCCAAATTATATTACTTTATTTCTACTTGTAACATTTTTTTCCAGGAAAAAATAGTGACGTGTCATAAGTTTAAAAAGTGTCTGGTTTTTGAAATGGTTTGTTATTTGCCATGTCTTACAAGACTGAATAATTAATTGTTATGTTCTCTTTTTTATTTTTTTTTTAAACAGGCAATTGCTGGCTACTTTGATATATATTTTGAGAAGAATTGCCACAAAAGGGTAAGTATCATGAGTTGCCTCAGAAGAGTTAATTATATGAAATGCATTGTATTTTATTTTGTGCCCCCAAGGTGTTTGATCATAAGCATTTTGCTGTTGTAAGCAGTGGGAGCTTGTGTTTGATGTAGTAGATTAATGTACCATGATATTAAAAATCTTGTACTTCATCAGATACTTTTGAACTCTACCAATACAGGTCGTATTCTCTACGGGACCCCAGAGTACCAAAACACACTGGAAACAAACAATATTTCTTTTGGAAAAACCATTTTCAGTTAAAGCAGGTAAGAAAGAAAAGTGGGGAATATGTCTTACTCATTCTGAAGTAAACAACATTCATTCATTCTACAGCCACTTTTTATATGCCCGCTGTATTTGAGGCAGTATAACAGATGATAAGATAAGGTGCTCTTAGAGTTTACCATATACATAAAATTTAGATGGCTTACCATTTCATTAAAGAAGTAAGTCAAAACTTGTATTTAAATCTCATTTCTGCTAGTTAAAGTGTGTGTGACATGTAGCTGTTATTTGGAGTACTGCAAAATAATTCAGAAAATTTTTCTTTAAGCAATAACTAATATTTACTAAGTTGCAAATATAGCTAAAGGAAAATACTTTTATTTCCCAAGTGACTAAAGAGAAATAGTACCGATCGAGGTAAAATATAAATTAAAGAGAATGTCACTAAATAGTTACCATATTCAGAATATATTTGTCAGAATGCTCTCCACTGTGTTCACCTCGTCAGATCTTCCATAGTGTTTGAAGACTGATCCAACTCTACACTCCTTTGTTTTATATCTCATTGATTGTTCACTTACATGAGCACCTATAGTTCTTACATACCTGCACATGTAGCTTTAAAGGTTAGAATCTGGATATGGACTCTTTCTTTTTGGTGGAGGGGATATTTAAACTGCTAATTACATGTAAGTCTTCTTGTCTCACCTTCACTGAAAGCCCCCAACTGTAGGAAAACTGAATATACAGCAAACCTCAGTGCAAAGATAACGTAGCATCACATGATGTGTGTGTGTCTCTCAAAAGTAACAATGAGCAAAGAGTTACAGAGTGATTCCTGCACTATACCATCTATAGGAAGTTTAGAACATGGAAAACAACCATCTATACACAGGCACACAGAGTAAAAGTAAGAGGCAACACTTAAGTCTGATAACCATGGAATTCACTGTGGTAGTGACCTCTAGGGGAGGATTGAAATAGGATCAGAGAATGCTGCAAAGGGGATTCAGTCCCATGTATCTGAACTATTTCTTTTAAGAACTGAAGGAATTGTGGCAGAATGTTAAGATTTGACAAAGCTGAGTGGTGGTCATATCATTCTCTGTATGTTTAAAATATTTCATAAAATTCTGATACAGTTTTGGTTTCACTGTAGAGGCATAAAGGAATTGAGTAGATGCAGATAAACACTTACAATAAAACAGCACCTTGGTTTTTTTTTTTTCTTTTCTTTTCACTTTGAGATTGTAATGCTATGAAATAAAACCTTGATGGGGTCGTTTTCTTTTTCTAGAAAGCCTAGAAAGCTTGAGCACAGCAAAATTGAAATAAGGCAAACGCATCCTCATTTTTTTGTTTGTTTTGCTTTTGTGCAGCTCGGGTATTTGGATTGATGTTTGGAAATTTGAAAATACTGTTTTTTTCTTCACTGTAACCATTTTGTTGTCTTAATGCTAGAATTTTAATGGCGGTACTGATTCTTTCATGTTTTAATCTTGAGGGAGATTTAAGATAGCATTTGGATTTTCTCCTACCTGATTACAACAAAATAGTATTTGATGCCTAGTGAAATTTTGAAGTCCTAACTGTTCTTTACCCAGTAATCCTTAGAGTATTTGATTTGAGTTTTTCAGAATACTGTGAAGAAGGTGTATGACTCCAGTGTTGCCCTCTGGTAATGTCTACATTCTGTATTTCTTTCACTGCCATTGTTTTTGTACTTGTATTAAAATAAAATCAGCGAATACATCACAAAATATCAGGCTCCCCTAAAATAGCACAACCTGAGTAAAGATTTGAAAGGGAAATTTGAAAGTAAGGAAAATGTGGTCATTCTCAGGTATGAGAATTTTTTTTAGCCCTGCTAATGTTGAAACCTCTGGTGGTAGTACTGAAGAATAGAAGCCAGAAGTTGTGGGGCAGCCCTGAAGAGGACAAGATAATCAGAAAGAGAGCGCTAGAGATCTGCATAAGATGTCCCTTTGAGTTTTAGATGAGTGCTGACCTGTGTTTGTGTAGGGTGAAATGGCTGAGGCCAGGCAAAGCAGCTGGGGCAGTTGTGAACCAGACTGTATCCAGAGCTCACACCAGGCTGGCGGTGGGGTACTCCTGTCTCAGTGAGCTAAAGTGGGGAGTCTTTATAGACTCTATTCAGTAGAGATTCCAGAAGGACCATAACTCCATAGTGGGAATAAACTATCCCTAGAGTAAAAGCAACTCTGGATGCTCCTTAACAAAGCTTAAAAGCAAATCTTGAAAAACTGAACTGCATGTGACTTTAATGGCCACAAAGGAAAACAACAAAACTCAGATCCTCAAAAACATAAAATTCATGATAGCCAGCATTCACTCAAACACTGAAAGCTGGAAAATACCAGTCAGTGGACAAATCCAGAAATGATGGGATTAGCACACAAACATGTTGAAACATTGTAACTACTTTTGTATGAACATAGGAGAGTATGAGAAGATGTTTAAAATCCAAATAGAACTTCTAGAGATGGAAATGATAATATCTGAAGTGAAAATGTCATTTGATGGAATTAATGGCAGAAAAGATCAGAGAACGTGAAGATACAGCAGTAAAGGTAATCAAAATGAATCACAGAGAGGGTGAAAAATGATTTTTTTAAATGAATATATCTACAGTAACCTGTGGGAAAATGCAGAACATTGAGTATTAAATGTGATAATAAAGACCTTGGAAGGAGCAGGGACAGAAAATATATTTAAGGAAATGATAATGGATACGATTATCTTACATTTGATGAAAACTATAACCACAGATTGAAAAAACTGAGTGAATTCCAAGATGGATCAACACAGAGAAAACAATACCAAGACACATCATAAACAAATTGCTGAGAAACAGTGATAATTTTTTAAAAAATAAAATCTTAACATTAACCAGAGAAAAAGGAAACAGAAAGGAACAGAGAAAGAACTTTAGAATACTCATTAGAAACTGTGTAAGTCAGATGATAGTCAAATGACATTTTCAAAGGGCTAAAGGTAACTGTCAACTTAGATTCTGTTCCTAGAATAAATATATTTCAAAGATGAAGGCTAAATAAAAACTTCTCCAGAAGAAAAATGCTGAAAGAATCCATCTCCATAAACCAACAATACAAGATATATTAAAGTAAATTCTTCAAGTGGAAAGAAAATATCACTAAGTGGAAACTTTAATCTAAACAAAGAAATGGAAAATGCCTGAAATGGTAAATGTGTGAATATGTAGAAAAGCCTTTATCTTCTCATTTTTTAATTTCTTAAAAGATAATTGACTAAAGCAAAAATAATAAGGCATTGTGTATTTAAAAACATTTTATAAAAGCGTAAAATGTATGGCAATGATTAAAAAAAGAAATTAATGAGAAAATGGAGAGATCTGTGAAGTTTCTACACTGTATACATGAAGCAGTTTAATGGTAAACTGATAAATTAAGTATGTACGTTGTAAACCCCAGAGCAACAGCTAAAAATTTTTAAATTAAATATAATAAGCTAATATTGGAGGTGAAATAGAATCCTGAAAAGAAAATTCAATTCCAAAGAAGCTACGAACATTAAACAGATGGATAAATAGAAAACAAAAGATATGATGGTTGACTTAAATTCAAACATACTGATAGTTGTATTAAATATGAATGGTCTCTACATCCAGACAGTGGAATATTATTCAGTGCTAAAAAGGTATGAGCTATCAATTTATGAAAAGACATAGAGGAATCTTAAATGCATATTACTAAGTGAAATAAACCTATCTGAAAAGGCTACACACTATATGGTTCCAGATTTATGACATTCTGAAAAAGTCAAAACTATGGAGACAATAAAAAGATCAGTGGTTGCCAGGTAAAAGGGATACAAATAAGCAGAACACAGGATTTTAGGGCAGTGAAAATACTCTATATGATAGTATGATGATGGATCTGTGTCCAGACCCACAGAATGTGGAACACCAAAAGTGAACCTCAAGGTAAACTACAGAATTTCAGTGATTATGAAGTGTAATCAATGTAGGTTCGTTCCTGGTAAAAAAATGTACCATTCTGATGAGTGATGTTGATGATGGAAGTCTTAGCCAGTGCAGTAAGGAATGAAAAAGAAAGAAAAGCCATTGAAAAGGAAGAAATTAAACTTATTATTTATAGGTAATAATGATTATGTATATAACATGGTTGGAAACATAGAAAATTCTAAGAAATCTGCCCCCAAAACTATAGAACTGGTAAGTGAATTTAGCAATGTAGAAATTGACAGGTAGATTCTAAAATTTATATGCAAATGCAGAAGATTTAGAGTAACCAAACAATTTTGAGAAAGAACAATATTTAAATCCTTATACTATGTAATTTCTAAACTTATTTAAAAATCACATAACTCAGGCAGGATAGTATTGACATATAAAAAATAGATATATAGATTAATAGAACAATCCAGAATCCAGAGGTAATCTCATTGTTGTACAGTCAATTAAATTTTCCAAAAGGCCAATGTAATTAAATGGGAAAAAGATACTCCTTTCAAATAGTGATGTTAGAACAGCTGAATGTTCGAATAAGAAAATAATCTCAATTCTTATCATCTGTCACCATGTATGAAAGCCAACTTTAAATAGCTCATCGAGCTAAATTTGAAAGTTTCAAACTGAAACTTCTAGAAGACAGCATAGGAGACAATCTTGAGACTTGGGGTAGGCAAAAGTTTATGGAAAGTGGGATATTGGTAAAACTCATTGAATTTCAGTTGTAGAATGTACAGTTCTACTGGATATAAATTATGCCTTAATAAAGTTAATTTTAAAAAAATCCTCCCTGGACTGGCACTATCTCCAGTATAAAATCCAGATTCCTTACCAGGGTTCTTTATAATCTGACCATTTTTCATCATTTCTGATCCCACCTTGTCACAACCCCACAGAAGCCCGTCATATGTAACAGCTGTACTGCTCATGTTTTAGCTAACTTTCCTGTCTTCTTCCTTGCCTTTGTCTAAGATGTTCTTCTCCCTAGAAAACTGTTTAACCTCTTTC